GGTAGTGAATTTATAAGCTGCAGCGGAAATTGTATAACACTAGCAATGCAACGGAAGTACCTCCATTTTCCCTATCTCTATTTTGGCCTTTAATAAGATAGAGAGTGAATTATCAAAATTTGCTACGCAGCGGATTATGGTCCAGACAAAGGCAAAACCAAATATATGTATACGAAGAGTATACGTATACGAACGCGAATACGTACGTAGATTAAGGCGAAGACAAATTGCAAGACAAATTCGAAGGTGAAGGAAAAACTAGGACGAAGACGAATACGAAAACGAATATGAAGTCGAATATGCATACGGCTACAAGCAGAAATACAAATACTATGCCAAATAAGAAAACGTATACGAAGTGGTATAGGAACAGTAGTGCGATGTCAAATACGAAGAGGAAGAGGCAGAGAAAGGCTAAGAATAAGACGAAACGTGATTGCGAAGATGAAGGATAAGGCTGAAACGAAGGCAAAAACTAAGATGAACGCGAATACAAAGATGAGAGCAAATACGCAAGTGAATAAGATTACGTAGTCGAATACGAAGACAAATACAAATACGAATTTCGAGAATTTTCTACAAATTCCAGCACCAGCATGCTGGTGTCCTGTATGGGCCCTTTAAAAACTGCATCAGTTTTGAGATTCAAAACATACTCTGCACTTCGAAAACCTGATCAAAACTCGACATTTTAAATTTTTCAAAGTCACATATATATGTATGTAAATATTCGAGCACAACAAAGATAATTCCTGCTGAATAAAATTTTCATTGATTGATGCCTTTTTGACAATTCCGCTTAGCAGCAACTACTATGACGCAGCATTAAATACACGACAAATTCTTGACCATATCACCAAGAATTCGAGATGCGGTTTGCTATTTTCATAGTTCTATTAGTTAACTCTCAACTTCTTATCGCGCAGGGTTTCGAAAACAATCGTCTACAGGTTTGTACCTTAAGAAGCCACTAACTAATTAATCCTTAACATTCGCCAACATTTTCTCTTATTTTTAGAAACAGCACAGAAAGATGAAGCGCATGTTGCCGCACATGTACGCACAGTTCGGTGAAGAATCTATGCAAAGTGGTGGTGGCACTGGGGATGGGCAACGCGATGGTGGCGTTCCAGGCGCCGGAAATGATGGCGAATGTAAGCAAAATGCCATGATGGCCGGAAATGCGAAGCAAAAAGCAACAAGCATTGCGCAGAAGGCAGCCCAGGAAGCCAAAGCTGCATCCGACGCCCAACAGGCGGCTGGCGAGGCAGCTTCTTTGCAAGTTAAGGCGCAATTGGCCGAGAAAGCTATGCAAGCCGCCAAAGCAGCGGAAGCTGCACTCGCGGGCAAACAACAAATCGTACAACAATTGCAACAGGAAGTTCGCGAAGCGGAGGCTGTGGTACAAGAGGAAAGTAGCTCACTGCAAAATGCGCAACAAAATGTTAATGCAGCGGTGAATTCGGCTCAACAAGCACAATCGCAGTTGAAGACCTTAACGAAGGCTGTGCAGACAGCGCAGTCGAATGTGGGCAATGCTGAGCAGGCAGCTAGTGGCGCACAACAAGAGCTGGCTGAGAAAACACAGCTGGTAGAAGCGGCTAAGATGCGTGTCGAACAGCTATTGCGCCAACTAAGCTCGGCGCGACAGGACTTTAATAAGACCAAAGATGCAGCGATGAGGGCGGCCGCTGCCGCACACGAAGCCAAGGTGAATGCATCACCGAGTGGTCGTTGTCGTCGTATGATGCGTATGCCACGTAAGCGTCATGCTGTTGCGCCGCCGAGTAAGCAGTGAGACGGTAATCTGCATATTTGTTAAAAGTTTATTTCTGATTTGTTTTTGTAACTGCTGAATATGGTGGTCTATGAATGAGTTGATATATATGTACATATATTAGTGTACGTATGTATTTATGTATGTATATTTTTGTTAAATTACTGGGAACACCGAGAATTCTAACCAATGCTGGTATTTTATTTAAACTTCGATTGCAGTGTAGTGGTTGGAAGCGGTTAAATAGCAAATCAAAGCGAAACATTCAGCAAATTCCTCTTTTTTAATTTAACCCACAAAACATCCTTCTATAACAGTAATTGAAGCTCTGATGCTTAGTTCGTCCTCTGTCTACGTTTATCGCCTTTGTGGCCATATTTGTATTCGTCTTCGCCTTTGTATGCGTTTTCGTAATCGTCTTTAAATTCGTGTGCATATTCATTTACGTCTTCGTTTTCGCCTTCGTCTTCTTATTTGTCTTAACCTTCCTCTACGTGTTCGTCCTTGCATCCGTCTTCGCTTCAGTGTGAAAACGCCATATCACAGAGAATTTTTTAAAAATTCCCTATCTCAGAATTTGATTTAAGAACGCTCTATCTCACAATTGGGTTCAAAAACCCCCATTTCTCAGCTGTCGATTCAAAAACGAGCTATCTCAAAGATAGGGCGTTTTTGAACCAAATTCTGAGATAGGGTAGTTTTCAATAAAATTCTAAAATTGGGCGTTCTCAAGGTACATTGAACAGGTAGTATCAGTACAGCAGCTGATTTGATTTATTTTCAAATTATTTGGTCTCGAAAATGTCAAATATTTTTAATTTTTTCTCACAAAAATTCTGAATTGTTAAAATCCATTTGCATGTGAAACCTTTTTCCATACAAAACAAGCGATTGAATAGCAGCTTTTGGAACGTTCGCCCAACTCGGCAGCACGACCGCTGATTACTGGGCCTTGCAAAGGATGGATCAATGCTTCGAGAAGCAAACAAATTTACTAGGAAAGAAAGTTGCATCAATTTTTATTTTTTCCAATTTCAATTTTTTATTTTTTATAATTTTTTGTATTTTACACGGCACGCTTTGATTTAGAAGAAAAAATTCAGAACAGTTTTTGACACTTTCGATACCAGAAGCAACAACAAAATACACCCAAATGTTGTTTTTGCTCTACTGATACTACCTGTTTAATGTGCCTTGGGCGTTCTTCAATCGATCGGACTGGATCGTTTCCTGGTGGACTTTGTCCGCCTTCCCCTCTATCGGAGAACCATCTGTTCGGAGATGGTTGGAGCTCACATCACAAGACATGCGAGAACGGACACTCCTCAAGGACATAGTTCACTGGATTTACACAGCAGTGGCACGTCTAAGTATATTGTTATACGGCGTCACAGGCTGGTGGATATCACTGGATAAATCGCTCACAAATTCTGAGTTTGCCAAGGTCAAAGGGCGGCATGTATGCTAATCACAGGTGCGCTGCCATCCTCACCCACCAAAGCGATAGAAACACTCCTAAACTTTCTGCCCGTAGACCTTTTTCTGAAGCTACAGGCGAACTGCAATGCAGTAAGAATAAATGTACTGTCAAAATGGAAAAACGCCAGATTCGATCATACCAACTACTCCGACACCTTTAGGTCCCCAGATTATCCAACACCATCGATGGAGCTTGAGAATAAGTGTTCCACTCATATCCATTCGAGGAAGAACTGTGAGCACGACTCGGCCTGGGGCCTCCAAGATAACTCCACAGCCACCTACACGGAAGGCTCTAAACTAAATCAAGAATAGGGAGTGGGATAAACTCGAAGGACTTCTCTATATTTAAGCTACCAGGACACTCTGCACTCTGGGTTATCCAATCTTTTCTTAACTTGCCTTCAGTAACTATATGTATACTATATACTCCGATAGCAAATCAGCCATCAAGTCACTGGACTGCTGCAGTACCTCGTCTAAAGCTGCGATAGCATGTAGGAAAGTACTTAACGTTTTAGCTTCAAAATCAACTACTCGCATCGTGTGAGCGTGTGGGTGCCAGTCCACAGATATTCAAGGCAATTGTGCAGCGGACGAGCTTGCGATGAAGGGAACCATACTGTCTGACGTCAACCTCTCTCATGCAGCGGTCATACCGTTATCTACCTGAAAGACATGGCTCAGGATATTGCCGACCAATAACTTCTGCCGCAGTTGCTGCGACGTAGACGAAATCGAGAGTGTGGAGCACTCCATCTGTCATTGCCCTGCCTTCATGTGGGCGAGAAGGCGCTCATTTCACCACCACCTTTTTGTCTGTCTGGCCGACCTACATAAGTGATCCACGCATTCACGAATTCTGAACCTAACTAACTGGTTCTACTGAATGGACCGGTTCGAATTCGGGCCCTCAATTGGTATCACAACTAGTGTTGCCACACATGGGCTTTTCCTACTAAAACTGGTAGGTTTTTTTTTAAATTTATTAGGTTGGTAAGCTTGATTGGATTTTGGTAGGTTTCACGA